CCCCCCGCCACCATTGGCGAGTTGGTTCCGAGATCTGCTCTGACCTAGAGGCCAAGGCCATCTGCTTGTTGTTGCTCTGCTGACCCAACGCTGAACCCCAGAAACAGCCCTCTGACTATTTTATTGTCAGTGGCACAATGGTTGAACCATGGTCTGATTCTGCATGAGGCAGCCAAGGTTAAAATGGATTTAGGTAGTTTGCAGTTCAGCCTGCTTGCAGCCTTAACATGTGGTGAGGATCTGATCCCCAAACTAAGCCATGTTACAGCTTGTATGTCTGGACATAACATGTCATGTGAACCCAGCAATTGTGTTTTGTTAGCCCAGGTTTAGGACTGAGTGAGTTACATGAGCCGAGCCAGTGAGTTCAGCACATCAGTGAGAGATCTTGTAGCTGCGTTCCCACCTCATGCTACGTCTGCTTAGTGTCTGTGTAGCCTTAACGTGAGTGCTCCATATCAGCGGCAGAGCTTGGGGTGCCAAGGCAGCTCGCGAGGAGAGGAGAGGAGATCCCTGGCCTGGAGGAGCGGCTGAGGACCATCTTGTGCCACCAAACCGCTTGGAGGCCTTCTGGAGGCCATTCGTGAGCTGGAGAAGAACCTGGAGAAAGGGAGAGGGTGGCAAAATGGAGCTGGAAGGACAGGAGACCCATCAGCAGCAACATCTTTCCAGGCATCTCCAGCAGGGAGTGGGGGGACAGACAGACTCAGGAGGGGTGGGGTGCCTGAGCAGGAGCAGCAAGGACAGGAGGAGGCCATAGAAAACCTTCGTCCTGCAGAGAAGCTGTCCTGGTCCAGCCCTCAATCTGGAGATTTTGGAAAGGTTCTGGCAGCCGGGAGAGATGGCATGGATCCCGCAGGGCAGCAAGTTCTGCCCATGAGGAAAGCTTTCTTGTGCTCTGTTGCAACAGCCCTGCTGGAAAAAGAAGACATCTTGGAGGCTCTGAGGACTGGAAGACACGCTCTCCTAATTCACCCAGCTGGTCCCATCCAGGCGGCCTTCCAACAGCATGTCTCCCGCGGAGGGGCGGGGAGCGTGAATGTCCTGTGGAGGGGCTTCTTAGAGAGGAGCGATGCTGGGCAGGGCATGGGTTAAATGCACTTCCCCATTGCTCATCCCGAAAAAAATCCCACCCCAAACCCAGGACTGACCTGCGTACGCTGGGAAATTCCGAATGAAGTGGAAACGGGCCACTGAAACATGTTTGCAAGGAGGGTGTGGCAAATGGAGGCATTTGGCTGTTAGACATTCCTCCCATCCCGGGGGGCCTGGGATCCTGGCAGGAAGCCAGCCAATGCACAGGGTGGGCAGTGGAGAAGAGAAGTGCTGGTAGACGGGCAGGTCCAAAGGGGTCCAAAATCATCCAAATAATGTTTGTTGGGGGCCATTGTGGGATTTGGGGAGGTTTAAGGATGGGAGACTTTATTCTCAGAGGATTCCTGCTCCCATCCCTCCCCCCTTAAAAGTCTGGAAAAAATAGGGCAAATGTTTTGGGCCCTACCCATTCCAGTGGTTGCCAGGTCTCTGGACCGCCTTCTGCAAGGCTGGACGGCAACTCCCAGTCCCGCTGCAGACCAGGTCATCCGTCCCTTCCCCCATTTTGGTCAGGCAAACTTCTGGTTCAATGTCCGCTTGCTGAGGGGTCTCCTCAGCTGAAGTCATTGGGCAGGAAGGAGGTGATGACTGCTTGGCTTTGGGTAACCGTCGGGATTGAGAAGCTGTGGTCAGATTTCAGGCTGCGTATTGGAATCACACACGGGAGCTTGCCGACTGCAAAACATCCTCTCAGAAAGGGAAGATGAAATCACTGTCATGTTTTTTTAGCCCGAAAACATGTGATGTTTCCTGCTAAGAGCATCTTTGCACTTTCCCTTGAAGACACTGGTGGAAGACTCCTGCAGCTCTTTAACCAGCCAGGAGAAATCAGCCTTCTGTGACTCATCTGGTCTTACAAATATTGCAAGTGCCAAAGCTTTTTCACATCTTGATCTGGTTTCTTCACAGCATGATGCCTTTAACCATGGCTTGTTTAATAAGAGTGCCTGTTCATACACTGTGGCTGTGTGGACACTTCACTGTGGGCTGAAAACCAGGCACAGGCCAAGACCGCCGGATCCAGGACAGTCGGGCAGAGCAGCAGTTGGTCTCCTGCCCGGCTGTGTCCAGAGATCAGGAGCCTTTCTCCTCGGGCGCAGCAAGGCAGATGACTGGGATCCAGTGCTGGTAGGCAGGCAGGGTCCAAAGAAGTCCCAAGCCATCCAAATAATGTTTGTTTGGGGCCATTGTGGGATTTCTGCGCCCACTAAGATCCAGCTTAAACTCCAGCGTTCTCACTGAGATCTGAAGCCGTGAAACCTGGTCTCTTCTTCTGATCCAAGTGTGGAGATTCTAACCGTCTGGCTGAAGACCCGGAACTGAAGTTCAATTTTGAGAAGATGGAGGCGTGAGGGATGGTGGTCTGGCATCACTTGCACCTGGAAGGGGAGTGGGCTCCTGGTTGCTGTGGGTGGAACTTCCAGCAGCCCAGCTCGTGTGGTGGTTGGCCAGGGATGCGTGGCAACAGGTCCCCAGCCTGGTCCTGAGGGGGCAGCTGGGTTAGGAGGCTCTTTGGCTGGCCTGCTTGGCTCAGGCGGTTCGCCAGCTGCATTTAGGGAGCCTGACTCGTTCTTCACATGCTGGTCACCTAGATCATCATGTCACAAGTTCACACAATGTACTTAATCAGGTTACTGAATTAGCCCATTTTCTGTATATACCCAATACAGTGAATCCTGAACTCACTACCACACTAAGCAACTAAGCAGTGATTTTGCAGTTGCTGAACCTTCAACTCACCTGGTTAAGTATGTTCTGTGAACACAACCAGTGTGGGGGCACCACTGGGGACAGAAGCGAGTGCAAGATCCCTGCCCAAGGTGTTGAGGGCTCAAGTTGGAACCTCTCTAGATCTGAGTTGCTTTGCAAGCACACACTCACCCAAATATAAGCCCCTCCTGCTGATGGGGGCAGAAATAGCATGGAAAGCCGTGGCTTAGCAGTGAGTTGCTGGTCACAGAGGAATCCTGTTTGATGGTGGGATCCTGCAGAACAAGAGACAAGGGCAAGTAATTAGACCAGTTCCAAAATCTTGGAGGGGCACAGAACCCCTGGACGTAGACCCTCAGTACAAAGAGCATTTCAGGACCAGCTTCTGTTGGCATTCTTTTAAAACAAAATCTGAGAAAGACTGAGGGGGTGAAGTCAATCTCCCGGACACTTGGGCCTGAGAGTGAAGGAAGATGGGAAAGCTCCTTATTGCTTACTGAGCCAACATGGCTCCCTTCAGCTTAGCCAGATTAGGTGCCAACTGAGGAGGGGGGAAGTTGGAAGGAGCTCAGCTTGGACACAGGATGGTCCCTCAGCAGTTGGGAAGACTTGGGAGCCCTCCTGCTCTCCAGGGTCTGTGCATTTGGGGAGGGAAGGCGGTGCTCCTTTCATCCTCTGAGGAGCTTCAAGGAGACCTACCTCCACAGGTGAAGGGTGCACCACGTTCTCCTCTTTCCATCAGAAAGCTCGGGCTTCCCTTCTTGGCACTCCCCACTCTGCAGGATAGTCTAGGTTCTGTGTCAGGCACGGTTCTCAAATGCAGGCCTAGCTAACCAGATGTGGTGTGTCTGACTTTGCAGAGAAGTTGGATGAGATCTTGGCAGCAGCTGAGCCCTCGCTGAGAGCAGACATTGTAGAAGCAGATTCCCGGGCAGCCACCGTGAAGCAGCGACCAACCAGCCGGCGGATCACTCCTGCGGAGATCAGTGTGAGAGAGCTGGGGAAGTGTTGGGTTTGGGGCTGCACCCTGAAACTAAGCGGAGGAAGGTCAGAGACATCTGGGTGAGGCACGCCGGACCTGAGCCATTTCCTCTGCAGACAAATTGATGCGGGCCAGGTGACGGTGACCGTAGCTTGATTGAAGCTGCCTTTTGGCAACTGAAATGCTCGTCCTGATCAGAACGCAACACCCCTTCTAAATTTCCAGAGTACAAGCTGAGGCAGGCTGGCCGCCGTACACCATTCCTTCAGGCAAGGGGTAGGGGGCAGGCTTGTGACATTCCCACCCAGCATGGCAGAAGGCCAAGTATGGTGGGAAGTCTGGAGAGGCCAGGTCAGGGAAGGCTGCATCCCACGGGCCTGTGAGAAATGTTCACAGGAACTCCTGAGGGCATCACACATGGAAGAAGGTGAGCTACAGCATGTCCTCTCAGAAGCCCCGGGAATCGGTCACGCAGTGCGATTAAGTGTCCCTGTAGGGTTTATCTTGCATGGGCAGGCCAGCCTGTTTGACCAGAGGGTTTCCAGGAGGAAAAGTTGTGCTCGTGAGACGCTGGAGAAAAGGGCCGTTTCTCATGTCGGCATCCCAGCTGGCCTTCCCCACCTCACGTTTAACCTGGCCTCTACCTTAACCCTTTTTTGAGTTTGCAAAGCCTCCAGAATGGCGTGCTGGGTTTTCCACTGGGCGGGTCAAGCATGCTGTGCAGATGGCCCCTGTGAACTGGTGGTCCACCCCTAAAGAACGCTGGTCTGAACTGGGATCCAGCTACGTCAGTCCCAGGGACTCAGCCACCTCTGCCTTCCCAGCCCCGTCACCTTTGCGCCTTCTTGACAGAGAAGGGCTGGCCTTCCTTCCACAGCCATCTTGTGCCTACGGGGACAAGGGGGTGCACCCTCATCAGCCCCAGGCAGCTGAAGCAAGCAGGGCCTGACCACGCTGGACTAGAGGGGGGTCGAGGCTCTCTTGCGCCCTGCCCTGCCCTGCCCTGCCCTGCCCTGCCCTGCCCTGCCCTGCCCCGGATTGCTTCCAAGGGGAGGGAAGAGAAGCCGCCACGGCCTCCTCTCCAAGCCAGCGGAACTCTGCCTTGTCCCGTTTCTCTTCTAGTCCCTCTTCGAGCGGCAGGGGATGGCAGCGCATGCTGGGCCAGAGAAGCCCCACGTGTCCCTCCGCAAAGGCCTCCCGCGGACCAAATCCGTAGGTAGGTGTGGCGCTGTCTTTGTTTCCCGTGACGCGAGTGGCCCTTCGGGGGGGTGGCCTCGTCTTGGGCTTCCAGCAGTTCAGCGGTCCAAAAAGCCAACATGGAGGCTTTGATAGAAGCCCACTCCAGTCAGGGTTGGGATTCTTTGGAAGGGGGAGGGGCGTCTGTCGTGGCCACCTTCTTGACCCCTCCTATAAGCCCCTCTGCCCGTTTCTCCAGAGGAAGCAGCGAGCAGCTTCCAGGAGACGGAGCTGGCTGCCCGGAGGGAGTCCCCGACTTTGCCACCCCGGGAACAGCGAGGCCCATGTTGGTTTGGCTGCTCGTAAAACAGCAGTGACGTGGAGCGTGAGGAACAAGCACGGCGGCCCTGTAGCCGAGATCACGTGCCGGGACGGGCTGGGTTGGCCTGCGGGTAGCACTGGGAGCTGGCTCTCTAGCCAGCATCATCTGGGTTGCGGACAAGCGAAGTGCTTGTCCCTGGGAGATCTCCACGAGTTGCAGACGCTGTTGTGGAAAGCCCGTTCCCTGGGCAGGGGGCCAGCTGGGAGACAAAGCACCTTTCTGGCTGGGCTAACAAGGGCGAGCAGTTATCAGGCAGGCGGCCTTAATTATGGGCACTCCAACCATTGTTTCCCAGTGAGAGAGCCCTAATTGACAGATGCGAACAGGGCTGTTGCTGCCTGATCAAACCCTTGCAAGGCCAGGGGGACATGCCACGGCTCCCACTCTGCCCCGGCTCTTACCAAAATAAAACAGTTGCTCTGAATAGCGGCTTTGGGAACAATGTACAAATTAAAAGGATCCTGTGACTTCGAGCCAGGGCCCAGGGGCTTCTTCCAAGCGTGCAGATGGTCCCAGAGAATAGGCCCGTCTGACTGCTGTTCACTGAGCTGCAAAACTGATTTGTGAGCAATGCCAAATAGGAACTTGGTGGAAGGAGGGAATGAATGCGTCTGCCTGCTTACACCTCGCATAGCAGGACACCAGCAGAATGAGTGTCAAAAACATCAGCGTCTGAAAGGATGCAAGAGAAAAATCTCTGGGAAATTTTCCTGCTGGAGCTTAAAATAATTCAGTGCTCTGGAATGAAAAGACCACCAAATCGGCCTGGTTTTCATAAAAGAGATTGTGGCAGGTGGAGAAGGAGATGAAGCAGTGAAAGGGTTCCAGCTGGAAGCAGAGCAGAAGAGGAGCCTGGCGGCCTGCAAACCTGTGGGGAACGCCGTGGGGCTTCTGGTGACATTCCCAAGGGCTGCCGCTGCATCATCTGTCGGTACCCAGAGCGAGGGCCACAGGGCCCTTCCCACTGAGAAGAGATGCCGGCCATTCTGCCTGTGAGACAACGTTCTGGGGACGGGAGCAGCTGACAAACGGCAGCGACTCATGGCCAGAAGCTTCCGAGCAGGTTTTCCCTCTGCGTGATGCTGAAATGTGTTGGGGCCAAGCAGAGACCCAGGACCGGATCTCTCTCGTGGAGTCCTTCCAGGTGGGGCCAGGATTAGAATCTCCGCAGGCAGCTAACAGAACAGAGCCGGTCCTGATGAGGAGGGGGGCAGCCCCAGGAGATGAGCACAAAACCAGTTACTTTGGTTCTCAGGCTTTGGCCCAAGGGGTTGAGCTTGCTGCAGTCGATGATCCTGGCTTCGGTTTTAGGACTTAGCCCTGTTTCTCGCCTTGAAGTCCTTGGCTCCAATTATCCTGCTAGACTTTTTTCAAGATGGTGACACGCCAGTAAGTAGCCCAAGGCCCCTGGTGTTGATGTCCTGGCTGGGCTGTGCAATGTGGGCGACGCAGGCGGTTGGCACCACTGCTCCTTCCTTCTCCAGAGCGGCACCATCCCTCGGATTACTAGAGCAACGCAACAGATGGAACATCAGCTGGAGCACAAGCGGAGGAGCCCCCAGGAGAGAACATTCCTGTGCAGGACGAGGCCCATCTGGAGACCGTTTGAATTCCTATCCTGCTACGGTGGAGGGAGCAAAGGGGGCGTCCACCGCTTTGTCTTCTCCGTCTCTGTCGTATCAACACAGAAGAAACTGGCATTGTTTTTTAGGTTGGTGAGCTGGGAGCAGCTTCCACAGAGCTTTGCCAACCAAGTCAGTCGCATTTTTCTTGACTTGCACAGCAACATTGGGGCAGGACTTAGGGGTGTAATCTTGGCACTGTTCGCCCTTTTTTGCGTTTGTAGATTTGTCTAGGACACGTGTAGAGGTGAGGGACACCAAATACTGAAAGACCCCTGCCGTTTCTGTCTGATTAAATAGGCCCTGCCCCGTGGTTAAGGGGCAGTGCGTCCTTGTGGCAGGAACGTGTTCCCCCCAGCCTAAAGGAGGTAGTCATGAGACTTTTCCTGAAGAAGCCCACCCTCGATTTGACAATCTCTACAGTTCTTACACGTTCCATTTCTGCCTGTTCTAGGCCAAGCGTGTACATGGAGATAAGGTTGCAGAACTTAACTTAGAGTTGCAAAGGGTTTACAAGCCAGCATGACAGGCACTGGGGCAGGGGCATGCGTGCTTCAGGAGGGTTTACAGGGAGAGAGAGCTTGCCGGCAACCAGTCTTAATTCAGTAGATCAGCAGTGCAGTCAGATGAAGGTCCAGGATTCAAGGCATTCACAGGAAAGATGTCGGTCAGTCCAGCTCAGAATGATAAAATTTCTGGATATATGGGATTCAAGGGTTGCGCATGTAGAGTCCAGGTTGAATCAGTTGTTCCCAGTGGAGAGGTGTAAGCTGGCGGTCAACCTGATATAGGTCCATGGCCATGTGAGAACCAATTAAAGCTGACGCTTCTCTTACCTGTTGAGAAAGCATACTGAATGCCTCTGTTCTGTTCCCTGGAGCATACAACATGTCTGGGGACTGGGCAGTTGCTCAGGATCAGGACCCTAATCATCCAACTGCTGGTACAGCTGTTCTAGATGATTGCCAGCAAATTCAGCCTCAGATACTTGATTGCTTGCTGACATTCACCCGGTGCATCTGGAGCAAGCCTGTTGGCATCAGGATCCTCAGAATCAGAGGCAGGTGAAACAGGCAGGTGAAATAGCGACAGTGGAAACGTTGAATCAGCTGGGGAGCATGGACATGGTCTGGGCCCTCCCACAAGCTCTGAAGGCGATGGCTCCCATTGACTACGCAGGGAGTCATGGACCTGGAGCCACTTGAGTCCCAAGACAACTGTAAGGTAGGGAGTGGAGGCCAGGCAGAATTCAGCCTGCCCTGTGGGATCCCTGAGCTGCGTCTGGAACTTTTTTGTTACCCAGGCCGTGGGACCAGACAGCGCAGTTTGCCCATTGATGGTCTCGATGACGAGGGGAGGCTGAGTGCCATGCCTGGGCACCAGCAAACTTAACATCCATAAAGTTCACAGGGCTCCCTGAATCAAACATTGCCCAAGTGCAACATCCTGGCTTGCTGGGGATCCAAAGCACAGGGGTGACCTCCAGGTGCTTCAGCAGAGTACGGTGTGGCTGTTAGGCTTGGTGGACAGTTGAAGTGCCCTAGGCATCAGACCCCCATCGATGTTGGGACTTCCCAAGGGTTAGTAGAGGTTGGAGGCCAATGACTTTCACGGGATCATTGGCTGGAGGTTCTACTGGAACAGGAGGTCTACCGGATGCGGGATCTTAGCAGTGCTGGATCTGGCCCTTTGATGTTCACTGCACAGGCAGAATTGAATAAGTGCCTGCAATGTCTCTGTGTGGTCAGTCCAGGCCTGTTTGTTCACTATTTCCTTGGACAGCTCCACTTGGATCTGGCCAATGAGAGCCACTTCGTTCCAAGCCCAAGCCTGAGCCAGCAGCTGAAAGTCGCTCAGGTATCAGCCACGGGATGTGCCTCTGCCGCAAATTATCACTCACCCGTCGGCTGTCTGAGCCCTAACTGGGTCTTTGAACACGACTTGATGTTGTCTGCTGAATCTCTCCGTCACCCAGGAGGGGGCTCTAGTGCAGCAGGAGAGGCATGGCCCATCTCACAGCAGAGCCCAATGAGAGGCTTACCATGAATGCCACACGAATCCCAGTGGTTCTTCGGAAGGTCCGTGGGATGCAAGCTCACACGTTTTACGCTGCACAAAAACCGCAGGAAACTGAGCATTCCCTCAAACTTTCCCGGCACTGTGACGGGGTGTTTTTGGAGGAAGAGCTGCTGCTTCAGCTGTTCGTTTTCTGCGTGTCTCTGCTCCCTTCTGCGGCTGAGGTGAGGGAGGAGCCAACTGCTCCTCCCTGGAGATCATTGGGCTGGACACACACTGTTGTGTTCCAGGCCAAGCAAGCACATGGAGATGAACTTGCAGAAGTTTACTTAGCATTGCAAAGGGTTCACAAGCAGCAGCCAGCTGCACAGGTGCGTGTCCAGTCACATGCAAGCTTTGGCAGGGCTCACAGGAAGAGAGTTTGCCTGCAGCAAGACCGAGGGCGCATCAGCAAACCAGTAGCACAGTCAGGTCATGCTCCAGAATTCAAGGTGTTTGCAGGTAGGCCAACAGAGTGACCAGAGTTTCTGGATGCGCAGGTTTCAAGGCTTGAGTGTGCAGGGTTCAGGTTGGGTTGGCTATTCCCAGTGGGGAAGTGCCAGCTGGCGGTCACTGGCAGCCACCCTGAAATAGGGCCCCCACTGGGTGGAACTGTTTAAGACCGACTCTGCTTTTGCCTGGCAAGGAGGCATGCCAGCACCTGCTCTCTGGAGCGTGTGGCGTGTCTGGGGACTGAGCAGTTGCTCGGAATTGGGACCCTCATCGTTTGACTGCCGCCCCAGCGGTCCTGGATAATGGCAGTCAGCCTGAGGTGCTTGTTTGCTTGCTGATTCCTGGCATTCATCCAACACATTGGCATCAGAACCCTCTGAGTCAGAGGTGGACATGACATGACACTTTCCGGGAAATTGGTTGAGACGGTAGCAGACTCACAACTCCAGATGCATTTGAATGAAACTGACTATATAGACCGCTTTCAATTAAACAAGGTGGAAACCGGACCAGGAGATACAGCCTAGCTCTTCTGGATCTCTCCATGACTTCCATCGCCATCCCCGTTAGCTATCTGGTAGGGTTGATTCCGGTCCTTTCTATAAGGCTGCATCCAGAAGGGTCAGCCCTACAAAGAAATCAGTGCCATGTAGGTCAGGACTACTTTCATTGTAACAGCTCTAGTAACAGAATCTTACAAGTCTGAATGTGCTTCCCCCTCCCTGACTTTATCTTCATGTGAATGAGGGAGGGGCTTGTCTGGAACGTTTTCTCACTCTTTCTTGGCCCGGGCTCAAGGCCCTCTTATCTGACCATTGTTTTGGTAGTGGCTCTTCTTCCTGTCCTTTAAGGCCATTTCCTATGCCCTCTACATCATTGTGGCGCGGGGGGGGCACTACTTAGGCTTTTGACAAGACTTAGGCTGTTCCACAAGCTTCCATCGTGGCTTCCCATCCACGTGAAACCACCAGAGGAGGTCATTCAGAATTCCAGAGTGGGACGCCATTGGCATGTTGATGAACTCAGCTCTTCCTCCTCATCGTTGAACTCCAAGGAAGCGTTGATTACCCTTGAACATTGCCTGCATGCAGAATGAGAGTGAACAAGACAAAAGTGTGGTTGACATAGGAGGATTCAATCAAAAATTTATTTATGGTCCAAGATGAAACACAATAAAAGATCAGCATACAATACAGTAACTATAAAAAGAAATTTTATAATTGTGAGAAAATCCTAAAACAATTAGCAGCTAACAATTAATAGTACAAGGGAGGAACTAGACAGCTTCTAACATCTATAGCTATTGATAAGAATTTTGCAGCCTTCTTAAAGGTTTCCGAAGAATGGTCACCCAGGAGAAGGATGACCTCGCTGCGACATCTGTCATCCCATTGAACGCCAGGGTTGATTCGGCCGATCTGTCTGGCTAGGCAGGTGTCCCCTTCCTCCCTCACCACTCCATGCACATCCTTCCCGAAGCTGGAGAAGAAGATGACCATCCCAGGTAGAAGAAGTATATCAATCTTCAGTCGAGGATATACGATAACTGGATTCGCCTGCTAGAACCTCCAAACAAGTTCTCTATTTGTAGGAGAACGTAGGAGGATTCTGTCTGGGACAGGGTTACCCAGTTCATTTTTATTTATTCATTTGTTGATTTATAGGGACTAGGGGTGGGTTACACAACTACAAGCGATATAAAAATCATAAGCAAAGCAGAAAAGAGATCCCAAAAAGACATCTCTCCAACTCAACAGAGAAAATGGAGAGAGGCTCGATCTGAATGAAGGGAGACAAGGAGCCGCAGGAATCTCTGAAGGAGTGCCCTGCAGAAGGCAGGCACAGCGACGGAGGCCCTGCCTTCTGGGTTCCATCAGATGGCTCTGTTTGATCAATGAGGTCTGGCATATGCCAACGCTCTGATTGAACAGGACCGGCAAAAACGTTTCCCCTTAGAACCCAAGTCAGTGTACCCTCTTGCCTTCCATTTTTCCCAAAGTTGTCCCAAAACAACCTGTTTTAGATGGGATCAAGAGCAACCAGCTTCACCAAAACAGCAGCTTCACCATCTGGGAGTGCACCCTGATCCTTGAATGTCACCAGATTCGCAGGTGGTGTCTGCAGAAGGGAGGGCTTTTGTGCAATTATGCCCGCTGCATTACTTGCCACCCTTCCCCAGCTGGCTGGGTGTGGTGATGGCTGTCTGTGGCTTAGTCACCTCCAGTCTTCTCTATTGCAGCGCCTCTACAAGGGGCTTTCCTTGAAGCTGTCCAGATGTTGCAATGGCTGACAGGTGCAAGGTATAGAGGTCCTACATTGCCTGTGGCCAGTGACGCCTGGGCACAGGATGCTGGCGCTGGCTTCAGAGGCTGACTCTTGAACAGAGCCTCTCCACCCCCCAGTAGGAACCTGTCTGGCCTCAAGCATCTGTGGGAGAGGCTACTCTATAGGTGCTCTGCTGTCAGGTCTGGAAGATGGGCCTGCCTGGTGTGGAAGATGGGCTGCTGGGGAACGGCCTCCCTCAGAAGCCCCCTGCCCGCAGCCTTTCCAGAATCCTTTTGCGGGCTCTAAATTGTAAAATGACCTTAATACATACATCATTATCCATTTTCATCTGTGTTTTTAATTGTTTACGTGCTGCTTTCATTTTTAAATCCTGTTAGCTTTGTTGGGTGCCAAAGTAGAAAGGCAGGGTATAACTCCAACAGCCAAATTCTTACATGGGTAGAATCTAACGATTTCCTGCAGGCCCCCACCCCCATTTTAATGACCAGCCTCATCGCCCGGTGACCGTGCATGTATAGAAACCTTGTTTTGGTGGACTAATTGGGGGGGGGCTGTTATTCCCCAGTCTGCTCTATGGGAGAGTCTGTCATTGCATTGTAGACTGCGCACATGACATAACTTACTCCATTCATGTGGTGACAGAAGCAGCAGTGGGATTAGGTCCCCTGCGCATGAGGCCCCTTGCGCTGGTCAGTCAGGTCCCCCATCTGGAGAGCCATGTCCCAGCATGCCTTGCAAAGGCTGCTGCTGCACATGAGGATGCTCAGCACAGTGCGGCCTAGAAGACATGGCACAGCTGCACACGGTGTGTGCTTCACAGTGCCTTTGCGCATTATGCTGCCTGGTACAAGAGGCCCAGCTGGCTTGGCCCTGCGTAGCGCTGTAATTTTTTAGACTGCAAAGGAATAAGAATTGCTGCTCACGATGCTAAGTGTGCTAAGCATCGTGTGTCCCTAAGCGAGGGACACGGGAAAAATGACTCTCCGCTTATTGGCCCTCACCCAGCCCCCAGGCGCCAGCGCCGGCCTGCTCGCTCAGCCTGCTTGCTCGGCCCTTCCCAGTCAGGGGCCCTGGCCCCGGTCTGCAGCCGTGTCCCTTCCCCCAGGCCATTTCCTGACTCGGGAATGCTGACCGCCTGAGGGGAAGCTGCATGATGGAGACCCCAGAGCTTGCCTAGCCCCCTCCAGTTGCAGGCTTTGAAGTGCACCTTGCTGGCCAGTAAGATGGAGAGAGGCATGGTTCTGTCCCCCGAAGGAACTCCAACCTTTCCTCTTCTGCTGCTTTGCAGGCGAAGACGAAAAGTTTGCGGCTTCCCTCATGGATGGAAAATTTCCCCGGAGTACATCGATGCAAGACACTGTCCGAG